TCATCCAATCATGAGAGGACAAAGTCAACACCCATCCTGGATACTCCTCCCCCCTCACTATGGAGAACGGCTATGCATAGCTTTTAGGTGGCTTTCAGAGAGCTCCTGGGGGCTGGGGAGGGCAGAAATGAGCAAAAAAATGGGTCATTTTTTGGTCAATTCCCTCCCCCCAGCAGCACTTTATAAGCCTTCTAAAGGCTATCTATGTCCTATTTTTGACAAAAAAACAGGCCCATTTTGGGCTATTTTTTGCTCGTTTTTGCCCCCCCCCCCCAGGAGCAGTCTACAAGCCTCCTAAAGGCTATTAATGCCCTTTGGGGGGGAATGGGTCCGTTTTCATGAAAAACAGGCCATTTTGGGGAGGTTTGCAGAGTGCCAAAAAATATATTTTTTAATTTGCCTCTTCAAAACCTTGGTGCGTCTTATACTCCGAAAAATACGGTAGGTCTGGGGCAGACAGAGCATGGGAACCCCTAACCATATAGCTCTAGCTAGCCGTTCATCAAGCACAGGAGACAGGCAACTTCATCTACTGGATTATCCAGAGGGTCGCTCCAAACAATTCTCAATCCGCTGACTCCTGAAACTCTGAACAGACCTGGAAAACTTCCAGCCAATTATCAAACCTCTGCCACCTCCATAAACCTACAGAATAATAAGCCTTTAACTCATATGAACCCGTCCTAAAGATGTTAGGACAGGCTCATAGGAGTTAAGGGCTTATTAACATCTTTTTTAGATCTCAGTATCACAGTCCAGCTTTTGCAGATGACACCACCTGGCTGGTTATTAATTCTGTGCAACATAAACTCACTGAATTAGCACCCTCCTTAGTTCTCATCAAAGGTGCTCTTTGCTCTCACTATTAATCAAACAGCACTTGCAACAAAGGAGAGCTGATAAGCCACTCTAGCTCTAGTCTCCCTTCAGATCTGTTAAAATCTGTTGAAACCCATGGAATTAAGATAGGGATTGAGGTTGAACTGCTCCAGCCCCCTCTCCGTGCCCCCCCTCACCATAATAATATTAAGATATACATACGTTGAGCTTGTCTGTGGTTGTTCAAATGCTTCTTTAGGAATTTTCAACCCTGGATTTTTCTTCTTGCCTGAGAAATTTAAAAAAACAATGCATTGATTTTTTTAATTAAGGTTTAGCCTCACCTCGCAAAGTCTGCCATAAATATCAATCACTTTTCTTGAGGAATGCAAGGTTCCACATATAAAGTCCTTTGCGTAGACTTACTTTCAGCCTCAATAAGCCCTAATATATTTAGGTATCTATCTGCGTATTCTCCCTTCCACCAATCAGATCCCACAGATTAGGCCTCCTCCGGATACCATCAGCTAGTCAATGTCGACTGTCGACCCCCCGGGGGAGGGCCTTTTCTGTGGCTGCTCTGGCCCTCTGGAACGATCTCCCAATGGAGATTTGGACCCTTACGAACAGTCAGGCTTTAAACAA